GTCCTTCTTGAGCATGTGATCAGCTGGTTTTGGTTGTCAGCAGCAAAACTGGTTGATCCACTCTAAGAAGGTGCTATTTAAGAGACTGAGCTGAAAACAGCACCTCAGACTGAGGAAGTCTCTTGGATGAGAGACGAAACGTTTCTAGATTTCTTTTGCTTTGTTTTGCTTTTGTTTTTTTGAATGTCCAGAGGACCAGATTGAACTTTTTTGGATACATGTGTTTGTGTTTTTTCGCTATTAATTTTCTTTCACTATAGGAGGTGTTCTGTATATGTTCTTTGTTCTTGAAAACATGCATCTTAAAGTCAATGGTGTAATTAGGTTGTTTATGCGCAACACTTTTACACCCTGGAATATGTAAACACCTTTGTTCCTTATGCAAAAATATCAATAAACACATGAATCAAAAGACAAAAAAAAAATCAGCTCATCAAATTCAACGTCTGTTCTTAATACCCTAATTGAAGTTGTAAAGTACAGGTATATGGCAGAGTACTTTTTGAAGGAACTGTGACCCTATTTACACGGACACGGTGGGGGGGGGGGGGGCATAGGTTTTTTCATATATTAACTCGAGGAAAACATCCGCGTTGACACGGACGGATTTTGTGTTTACATGCATCCGCAGGAATCTCCCCCACCCCCCGAATCTGCCGTAGTTACCATGCCAGGTCATTCGTTGGCGATGTGAATTTTGTACATTCACCTAATGGGCATGCATGCTGTCTTGGACCGCTCCCTGTAAGGACTTTCCTCTGGGCTAAAAGCTCAGCTAACAACAAGTTAAAGCTGGATTTTGGATACGAGTCGACAGATTTGACATCAAGAGGGACTGCTTCGTCTAACAGCTCCACACCGGTCGCTGAGCGGACCAGAACCGAGTCGACGATATGATCTCAGACTTTCTACGCCGTGATAATCAGTAGCCAATTTACAGCAGGTAAATCAACGTTCTTAATAACGTTAGCTTGTGTTTATTTTGGTTACACAACAACCAACTAACTGAGTTTTTATTTTTATTTTTCCTGCGAGGACAAGCTGCCCTCCTACCAGCGGTGGACCGGGTCCAAACGAACCTTGGCCCAGGTGTGGTGCTGGAGGATGTTGAAGAGAGAGATGTTGGATGAACTATTTATTTAAAATTCCCTTTGTTCTTTTTTCCAATTCAGTCAATGTTTTAAGCTGCATTGGACAAAGGAGTGACAGCCTGAACAAGCCAGATAAACAACATGGCGTCTGTACCCAGGAAGACAAAAGATGAAGAGTACAGTTCAGTAATGTAGCTTACAGTTATGTTAATGTGCTTTTAATAGTGTGTTCAGTTTATTACCAGTGTTTGTGTGACATATTTGTGGTGTTAAATAAAAATTAAACCTGATGTCTTCATTTTCACCTTTATTAACACACAGCATGTTTCGCATTGTTTAAATCACATAACTTGATTTACATAATGCCCAGATAACTTCATTTAGCTCAGATAGCTTAATTATATCTCCCACACTAACAGAAATACTGTTTATTATTGTTAAACTCGTATTATTTAGCACATTTAGTATGTTATATTCCAGCCAGATGCATGAAATATATGCCTACCTCAACAGGCCAGTTCAATAAAAAGTGATATTTAGAACTGGGTCCGACTGGCGTCTCTTTCCAACACAAATGTCGGTCACAGCAGCTACATTCCTGCGTAAATTAACTACCAGACTCAAAATATATTCCATCGGTCGTAGCTCAGAAAAGCAGCATGTTATACTCTGCCGCCATTGTTGTTGATAGAAATATGCCATCTGTCCGCGCATGCATGTGCACATGTGGTATAACAACACCTCTGCGAGAGACATTTACATTGTCAGTTGAAGTCCTCCTGAAAACCTTCACTCTTATACTTTTCTGTTTACAGGCGAGAGACCACAGCAGGAGTATAATCAAGCTAACACTGCACTGATTGTATCAAATGCCGTTTTTGGGATTGTGATTATCCTTCTTTCGGGGATAATCTGCAGGTCACGGAGGAAAGACTCTGCAGGTTTGTTAAACTTTGTGCTGAATCAAATGCATAGCCTGCTTCATTTTGCAGTAGCATGAAATGACTATTTATGATTTCATGTTCCTTTAGAGGCACCTGATAGGTCAAGTGGTATTGAAGAGGTCAGTTTGTTTCAATAAATTATTGTGGATCGTTTTAATGACCATTTAAGTAACTCTGTGTGATCCATTGTCCAACTCTTCTAATAAGTCTATGCTTTCATGTTTCACAGACTCACGATGCAGTTGTCTATGCAGATGTATCCACACCTCGCAGAAGCTCCAGACCTCCACTGTACAGTGGAGACTCTGTCCTTTATTCTGACATCAGAAAATTAAAAACTAAGAAATGTCATTTTGGTACTGAGAACAAACTAGAAAATGACTAAAAAGCATAAGTAGAAAACACTGTCAATATCTATGCTTTTTGGTTAGCGTTTGTAAGTCCTTTGTGCTTATTATTAGGTTTTTTAGGTGTTCAAGCCAGCGGAGGCAGAGGAACACATCTGCAAAGCAGCAGCTATGTATCCAGTGGAGCATGAAACCCTACTGAAGCTGTTTTATTTTTAATTATTTTTAAATTTTTTCTTCCATAAATAATAGTCATACTGCAGCATAAAGCACAAGTAGAATTAAGACGATATATACATGGTAAATGGTAAATGGACTGTACTTATATAACACCTTTCTATCTTGTCAAGATACTCAAAGCTCTTTACAACACAATCTGTGTCCTCATTTACCCATTTGGTTACATGATAGTAACTATGGCCTGCGAGTGCTGCAGAGAAAAATACTCAGACATGTCCACATATATCAAAAAATATTTGGACTCATTTAACATCTTACCTCCCCATCAGCCTGGTTTCAGGAAACAACACAGCACAATGACTGCTTTGCTGAAGGTTTTTAATGATGTTGTTGAAGCACTGGATGCTGAGGATTATTGTGCTGCACTTTTCTTAGACCTGTCTAAAGCTTTTGACACTGTGGATCATAACATCTTGTGTCATAAGCTCTCAGAAACTGGTTTCCCAGATCACACAATCGGTCAGACCCTCCCCTGATGCATCCTTACATTTTTATGCTGACGAAACAGTTGTTTACTGTTGAGTGAAGTCAGTTGCTAAGGTTTTCCAGCTTTTGCAATCCGCTTTCAACATCATCCAGTCAGATTTGTTCCATCTCAAACTTGTACTAAACGCTAACAAAACCAAAGGGATGCTGTTTTCAAACAGGAAGTTGGTCCCAGCAGTTCTTCCTTTGATTTTATCTTTGAATGGTGTCCCTATTGAGTTTGTCGATTCCTACAAATATTTGGGTATCTTGGTCGACTCTTATCTTTCTTTTAAGCTCCACGTGGAAAACTTGGTAAAGAAAATGAACTTGAAACTGGGTTTCTTTTTCAGAAATAGATCCTGTCTAACTCTGAATGCTAGAAAACGCCTTGTATCTGCGACTTTCCTTCCCTCCATTGATTATGGTGACATTGTTTACACGAATGCTCCTACAAAAACCCTGCAGATGTTGGATGTTGTCTGTCATGGTGCGCTAAGATTCATAACTGGTTGTAACTATCAGCTTTGTTTTGTTTTTTTGAATGTCCAGAGGACCAGATTTAACTTTTTTAGATTTTTCTACCTGGATTATTGAGCATGCATCAGGATATTTTGAATCAATGCAGACATGTTCCTGTTTTTAGTTTTCTACATCACCTTACAACCTAGCTGTTTTTATTTCATGTTTTAAATACCATTTTCTTTTTTTTGTTCTTCTCAGTTTGTATGCTTTTAATGACTGTCTACTGTTGTCATCACTCTTTGTTAAAATCAGGTCTCTCTTGTAAATGAGTCCCGCCCCTTTTCCATTAGTACCTGTAGTACCGGTACAGCACGGCTCTACTCTACTCAGTACGGTAAAGGTTGTGTTTCCATTATGCTTTCAGTACTGGTTCCAATGGGCGGGGTTCAAATTGACGTCACCACCTCTCACCAGCTGGTAGCGTTGAGACGCAGAAACTGTTTTCAGTACAGGTTGAAAATTTATGTAATTTTGAAGTTGTGTGTATGTATGTATGCATGTATGTACATGTGTATAAATATGTATATATACACATATACATATATATATATATATATATATATATATATATATATATATATATACACACAAATATATATGTACACACATATGTGTATATATATATGTACATATATGTATATATATATATATATATTATATATATATATCATATGTGATATATATATATATCACATATATGTATATACACACAATTATGTATATATTTATATGTATATAAATACATATATATGCATTTATATATATTCATATATATTTATATACATATATATGTATTTATATATATACATATATATTATTATATCTATATATATTTATATATATAAATAAATAAATATATATATAAATATATATATATATATGTATATAAATTAAAACTCCGATGAACCAGATTCTACAAAAACATCTAGATTTAAATTTTTATAGGTTTTCATCATCATTTGATGTATTTGCACTCATTGTGTCTACTTTTAATGTTAATAGGTTTTCTTTCTTGTTCACCTATATACATTTTATTTTTAGCTTTGCTTTAAAGTTCTTGTTTTGTGATTTGTACATTTGTGGGTTAAAATAAAGTTGAACTGAAGGTCGTCTCTTTTCTTTTAACATGTTTGAGGGAAATATTCCTGAGATCCAATAGTTTTGTGTCTTTTTATGATTTTCAGCTGAGTTAACAGTCATTAAAGTGAAAACAGGATTTCATGATGAAGCTGACACCATTTATTTTATTATTTTTTTAATCTTCAACGCTAAAAAAAAAAATATA